TTTTTCTGTGTTTCCAAGCAAATTATTTGTCATTTTGAAATTTATTTTACTTATTGACAATATATAATGCAGTGCAGTGTTGATTTAAAGAAAATAATCTTGAATTACACCAAGAGAACTAAAATTTTATGGGTGAAATGGCGCCATGGGGTGACTTCTCTTCCACCCCAATGCCTTCTCTTCTTCCTTCTCCTCCACCCCCATTCTAAATCCCATCATCATCATCCAGGAGCCTTCTACATACACACCTCAAAGTAAGTGAACTTTTCTACCATTTTTGTTGAATTTAGGAAATTTTCGGTGAGCTGGAACCAATTACCCAAAAACCCATTGAAACGATGGTTTCGGTTAACGAACGACCTTCTGGAATGGATTGAGTTCGTTAACCGAGGGGTCACTGTATAGGCAAGCAGAGAGAGCGAGAGAGAGAGCAGCCGAACTGCCGGATGTAAACAAACCTTAATTTCCCGCGGCTGTTTTTTTTTTTTTTTTAAGGGGATTAGCCCACCCGGGCATAGGTCACTGACCCACATTGGGGCCTGAGGGGCAAAAATTGAATAGTCCTGTAATAATAATTCAGATAAGTTAAAAAAAAAAGAGCTGCCTATCTACCTATTGGACAAACTAAAATCGTACCGGACCACGGGAGTTTCCGGACCACAGAATGCCAGACTAGAGAGGTACAACCTGTACAGTACAGGATATTGGTACAGGGTTAAAATTTTCTGTGATTATTAATTTGTAATGTATAACATTCATTGGCTTTACTGTACAGGTATATACTGTATACTGTAAAATCATTTTTTATGTATATTAACCCAAGTACAGTGGACCTCTGGTTAACGAACTCTAACTGGTTCTGGTGGCTAGTCGTTCTGCTTAACTCAAAAGTTCTCGTTGAATCCTAAAACCATTGTTTCAATGGGTTTTTGGGTAATTGGTTCCAGCCTACTAAAATTTCCAACGAACAAAAATGCAGAAAAGTTCACTTACTTTGAGTAAAAGTAAAAGTGAGAAGGTCTTGGATGATGATGATGATATGGATTAGAATGGGGGAGGAGAAGGTTAGTGAGAAGGCATTGGGGTGAAGAGAAGTCACCCCATGGCACCATTTCACCCATAAAATTTTAGCTCTCTCGGTGTAATTCAAGATTATTTTCTTTAAATCAACACTGCACTGCATTATATATTGTCAATATGTAAAATATATTTCAAAATGACCAATAATTTGCTTGGAAACACAGAAAAAAAGCGTTTAGTTGAAGAGAGTCTCAAGCAAGATGTTACCTCCAGTGAAAACAGAGAGACTAACGCCTGTTTGCTGTGTTAAGAGGCTGGATGCGCGCTTTAAACTAGTCACTTTACCTTCAATTATGTTCAATAATTGTTAAAATCACTAAAAAATTGAATATTAAACTTTTAAAATTATTGAATAGTATAAACTTCTTGATATTTACTAAAATAGTAAGGAATTTAAGCCCTAGAACCGATTAATGTATTGGCGGACTGATACTAAAGCTGGTTGCCCGGTCAGTGCAAGCGAAAACATGTTGAGGTCGGTTCGTAAGATATTCGTTAACCGAATTTTTGTTCGTTAACCGAATTGAAGATCCTTATGGAAGGCAGTTCGTTAACCGAAATTTCGTTAACCGAGGCGTTCGTTAAACGAGGGGTCACTGTATTGTATGTTATTCCCTATCTTATGACTGAGATACAGTGTTAGGAAGATAAAAAATGTATTGTAATTTATTATACTGTATTTTTGATAGATTGGAGGACCATGGGAACAAGATGGCATTGATGGGGGAGTTTGTGGTGGAATGTTAGGGTGCTGGCCACTAGACCATGCCCTCACTGTGCTCTCTACTATACTCAACCCAGTTAAAGCCAGGGAAGATTTTCTTCATCATCTTAAAGAAACTGCATTGCCTAGTCAAGTTGATGAAGATAAGAACCTTAGTGAAGATAAAAATGATAATGTCTGGGTGGTGGTTGACAGTTCTGGGGAGGACGAGGAAGACCCTGCTCAGCTGTGGGCCCGCTTCAATGAAAATGATGTTGTTCAGGTATATAATCATTGAAGTTGATGAAAAGTGTTTTACACATGTCTGTACTTTCTTATCCATACCATCATTCCCATTAGTATCAGGTGGATAAATTGCATTTATCATATGTTGAGCAGTTGTGCCTTTGGGACCCACTTTCACTTTTTCACCTAAATTAATTTAGTGTAACAGTGAACATGAGAACTTCTGCAGTCACAAATAAACCAGAGAGATGTATCTATTAATTTTCATTTGTTAATGACTGGTTTATTTACTAATCTAAAAAATTTACGTATATTGAACATCAGTCACTAGGATATATATATTTTTTTCTCCTTTTTATGTTTGTGACAATTGAAAATTTATTTTTCATTCATTTTTCCAAGTGTGCAAAGTGTTCTCACTGTACTGTAGTATAGTATCTCTAATCAGCCTTAACACCTGAAATCATTGACCCTCAAGGATTTATTTATTAAGTACAGTAGGCAAATCAATTCTGGTCAGTTAACCTCACTTCCACAAGCCTTTAACCTTCAGCATTACTGTGTGAATCCTCCCCAATCTATCAACCACTGCAGTGTTTGTGACTTTTCATAGCAACACTTTTCTCCTTCTGCCTCTCCTCTCTAATAATTTCTTTGCCACTCATGAATTACTTGTTTTCCTTCATTCTTTTTCTTTCCTTTGCTTTTAATATTCAGTGTTGTGCGGAATACTTTTATCTACTGCCTTACTTTGACCACTTGTAAAAAAAATAGCTTAGTTTAGTACCCACACAGATGTACTTCTACACACAAATTTTGTGGCTTTCTGTGTATGAAGCATCATGTTTTATCTGATGTACTTCATATTCTCCAGATGATTAGTTTTGTTGATGTTTTACACTGCTTTCCAGTTATGATTTAGATTTCAAATTAATATTTAAAGGTTCCTGGTTAAAGAAAGAATTCATAATTTTTGCATCTTACAGCATCTTTCACTCTTATATAATGGGCTTTCAGATCTTAAACCAAGTGCCCTTCAAAGAAATCTTCCAGCACATATTATTGATCAAGGAAGAGGATGGATCACTCAACTATGATGTGTCTTGCACAAGTCACCAGGGCTTTATGAAGCTGTTTGCATTTGCTACTCATCTTTTACAGCTTTTTCGTACAGGACTGGCAACATATTCTCAGGTTAGTCTAATAATTAGTTGGCAGATTATTGCAACCCTTGGATGGTAATACTAATATTTATATCTATTAAACCAGTGAAGGAAAATTTCCATAATTCCCCTCAAAAATGGAAAAGCTGCACCGGTCCAATTGTGTGGCCACTAAAACCCCAGACTTGACTAAGTGGGGCGGGCGGGTCATGAAGGACATGGTTTATACTATGTACCCACAGTCCATGAATTGTTACAAGATTGCATTACTAATGCTGCACAATTTAATTTGACCCCTCCAGATATAAATAGAAGGAGAAGGTAGACATGTTTAGTACTGTACTGTATTAACCCTTTGACTTTGATCATGTGTGCCCTGGAGGGACCCCCCAGATGACTGAATTTTGTAATTTCCAATAATGAAAAGGATAATAACACTTGTTCATTGTTGCTAGTACAGAATCATGAATATTATAAATAAAATGATACTTTTACAGTAAAATCCCCATAACTTGGCACATATGGTGCTGAGGCCTTGCTGAGTACTGTAATCAAATTTGCTGACTTGATAATTAACCTATGCAGGGTGATTCAGCAAAGAGTGCATTAAATTGGAGGATGAAATCCTTGGATAATTCTAAACCACAATGTCTATGGTAAAATGTCAGATTCTGCTTATGCCCACGTGTTCATGACAGGTGTGAGTAAATTAAACATAGTCCAGGCATTCTGGAATGGGTCAGACAATCAATGGTACAACATGTACAGGCCTGCATTGAGGCAGAAGGGAGCAACTTTGAACATTTCCTTTAAGTTGTAACAAAGATGGGTCACACTATAGAGATCTGGGAATAAATGATTACAAAAACCTAGGGAGTTTCACTTCAAATTCACTCTCATTAATACAACATTAAATGTATTGTAACATGGAAACTATGCAGAATCTGACATTTTACCATAGAGACATTGTGGTTTAGAATTATCCAAGGATTTCATCCTCAAATTTAATGTACTCTTTGCTGAATCACCCTGTATATTGTATATACTTTTCTGCAATATCTACTAGGTTAGATATCGTGGTGCAACCAAACGCATATGTCGCCTTCTTCGACACACTGTGGAGTACATCACTGACCACTGGCAAAGCTTCCTTTCTTTGCACCAGTACTCATTGAGCCACAGCACTGCCATGTCTCAGGCAGTAGCTCATTTGGAATCTTTACAGGTTAGCTATTGTGTTGTGTTTAATTTGTTATAGATAATAAGGTATTAGTGAATATGCATTTCTGTACCATATACTGTTACCATACTATAGTTAAACTATAGTACAGTGGCCCCTCGGTTAACGAACTCAATCCGTTCCAGAAGGTCGTTCGCTAACCGAAACGTTCGTTAACCGAAACCATTGTTTCAATGGGTTTTTGGGTAATTGGTTCCAGCTCACCGAAAATTTCCTAACTTCAACAAAAATGGCGGAAAAATTTACTTACTTTGAGGTGTGTATGTAGAAGGCTCCTGGATGATGGTGATGATGTGCATTTGAAGTGGGAGGTGCAGGAGGAGAAGGGAGAAGAGAAGGAAGTGGAGGTGGAGGAGAAGCATTTTACTGCTTCTTGGAAGGTGAGTCACCTTCCATGAAAATGTCAGGAACCTCTGGACTGACAGATTCTCCACCATGAACATCCTCTCTCCTTCTTGAAGTGGAAGGCTGAGGGCTAGCATCTTGTTCCCTCTGCCTTTTACTGAAGAAAGTGTCAATTGTGGTCTGTGGGGCATCTGTCCTCCTCACCATTAACTTATGTTTAAAGAAGGAGACCACTGAGTCCTCAACATGACACAAAGTTAGTTCAGTTTTTTCCACTTCTGGGTGCTTTGAAGCCAGTTCCCTGAACTTCTCCCAGTGGTAAATCACATCTTTCAACTGTTTAGCTGACATATGGTCATCACTTTCAATTTCCTCCTCACCACTGTCAGCCTCTACCCGTAACATCTCATCCAGTTCCTTCAAGTCATTAGGAGTAAGTTCCTCCTCATGAGACATCACAAGCTCTTCCACATCCTTCTCCTCCACTTCAAGACCCAATGACTGACCAATGGACACAATCTCCTGGTCCAACTCTGTGTCATCCTCAAATCCCTCAAAATCATGGACTACTGATGGCCACAGTGCTTTCCATGAAGAATTGAGGGTTCTATTGGAGACTTCTTGCCATGATGACACAATCAATTTTACAGCCTCCAGGACGTTGAATTGTGTCTTCCAGAACTGTTTCAGTGTTAGTTCAGGATCAATGGAAGTTGCCTGATGACACCTCCTAAACATTTTCTTCATGTACAACTTCTTGAAGTTGCTGATCACATTCTGGTCCATTGGCTGTATGAGTGATGTAGTGTTTGGAGGCAAAAACAACACTTTCACAAAGTCAAATTTATACTCCAAATTTCTGGCAAGGTCAGGGTCATGACCAGGAGCATTATCCATGAGGAGAAGAGCCTTTAAAGGAAGTTTATTGGTGGTTAGGTAGCTCTTGACAGAGGGGCAAAACACATCAACAGCCCATTCATTAAAGAACTGTCTTGTCACCCATGCCTTACGGTTGGACTTCCAATAAACTCCAAGCATTGTTCTTACCACTTTCTGTTGCTTGAACACCCTGGGGTTTTCAGAGTGGTAGACAAGCATAGGCTTCAGTCGGAAATCCCCTGAAGCATTGGCACCAAGCAATAGAGTGAGACGGTCTTTCATGGGTTTATGCCCAGGTAAAGAGGCTTCATCCTTGGTGATGAATGTTCTTTTGGGCATCTTTTTCCAGAACAGCCCAGTTTCGTCAACATTGAACACTTGCTGTGGAAGATAATTTTCTTCTTCCATCAGTTTTTTAAATTCAATTAAAAACTTTGCTGCCCCTTCTTTATCAGCACTAGCAGCTTCACCATGCCTAACAACACTTAAAATGTCACTTCTTTTCTTAAATTTTTCGAACCAGCCTTTGCTAGCCCGAAAATCTTCAAATTCTGTTCCTGAAGAACCAGGTTGATCTGTCTTTAAATGTTCATAAATCTCCCTGGCTCTTTCACAAATGAAATCACCAGAAACTGAATCACCTTTCATCTGTTTTTCCCTAATCCAGATGATAAGTAACCTCTCAGTTTCTACGATTAGGGATCTACTTTTAAACACTCTTGTAGATTTGTCTCTCACGTTCACTTCCTTAAATTTGTCTTTTTGTGCAAGAATTGTCGACACAGTTGATGCCGACATGCCATATTCTTTGCATAGCGCATTTGATTTAATACCTTGTTCGTGTTTTTTTATTATTTCCTGCTTTATTTGGATTGAAATCACTTTTCTTGATCTCTTAGGCCCCATGCTGGATTCAAACAATGGCAACACGTATTTTTCAAAGTTAAACTAGCTGTAAATAAAGAATATTTTCTTTAAAGTAACACTGCACTGCACTATATATTGTCAATATGTAAAATAATTTTCAAAATGACCAATAATTTGCTTGGAAACACAGAAAAAAAGCGTTTAGTTGAAGAGAGTCTCAAGCAAGATGTTACCTCCAGTGAAAACAGAGAGAGACTGACGCCTGTTTGCTGTGTTAAGAGGCTGGATGCCGCGCATTAAACTAGTCACTTTACCTTCAATTATGTTCAATAATTGTTAAAATGACTAAAAAATTGAATATTAAACTTTTAAAATTATTGAATAGTATAAACTTCTTGATATTTACAAAAATAGTAAGGAATTTAAGCCCTAGAACCGATTAATGTATTGGCGGACTGATACTAAAGCTGGTTGCCCGGTCAGTGCAAGCAAAAACATGTTGAGGTCGGTTCGTAAGAAGTTCGTTAAGCGAAATTTTTTTCGTTAAACGAATTGAAGATCCTTATGGAAGGCAGTTCGTTAATCGAAATTACGTTAACCGAGGTGTTCGTTAAACGAGGGGTCACTGTACTGTATACAGTTGTAAAATAACTTCTTTAGTAATGCTTAGAGTTTCTAGTCAACTATACTTTGGTATTACAGTAACAAGTCTCTAAATAATATAAGCTGTGATATATACTTTAAGTCTCCCCCAAGTAGTTAGATTTTGATTGAGTGTCAGATACTGCAGTGTGAGTTTAACCCAATAATGTATAATTAGGTTTTCCAGTCACACACCACTGTGCAAAATAAAACTTAGTGAAAATATTTTTCTCCAACACAATTTTCACACTTATGAAATTAAGACAGCATGCAAACATTTAACAAAGAAATAGTTTAGCCATGCTGTGGTAATGAAGTTGAGCATCTTGGGCCAATCAGCTGAGTGAGAGTTATGGGACAGGAGGTTTATAATGTGAAATTTTATGTATGGTTTGTAAAAGCCACTGGGCTAGAGTGAAAATACACTAACACTCTTGTTTTTTGCACACAATACTCATACTTTATTTACAAATTACCTCTGTACTTTTTCATAGAGTAGTAATTCCTATAACTGGGTGCCACACATAACCATACATCACATTCTTCACACCAAACACTGACCATCTCTCTCTCATCATACATACATACATACATACATACATACATTGTAACAGTTCATTGGTTTAATGGCACAGAGCCCAAGAAGTCTACCCTGAGCCTGTGTTTCTCGTCGTGCTTACCCTGTGGAAGTTAGAGTACAGTACCATACTTTTTTGGGATCTGGAATTTTCTTTGTTTTGTTTTTTTATTCCCCATCTTTCCCAGGTATAATGTATACAAGTATTATATGAGTTGAGGACTGTTATGACAACTAAAAAAAAAAATGTATGATACTATTTTACAGTTTTTCTCACATGTTCCACTGCGTTTAGTTGACAACCACTTTTATCAATCAACCTCTTGTTTTCACTATACAGAGCAATCCAAAATAGCTTCAGGTCATTTAGTCCTGCTTATCACTGTTTTGTATATGAGCCTTGTGAACTACAGCCAGCATGATAATTTGCCACTTGTCATGCCAGTTGATTGCAAATACTTTACCAGACTTTTGGTATTCAAAATACAGTACTCACACTGGGTGGTAGTACAGTAAATTATTTTTTTGTCTTTTTTCCATTTTTTCTGACAGTTCCACATATTTCAGTGTTCTGTATATGCATGAATCTAGACACATAAGTAAGGGTTACTTTACCAGTTATCAGTTCTCCTTACCTATTTATGGGGGATTACAGTTTTTTCATTATGGCCTTTAACACCCCCAATGGGTTTTTTTAAGATGTCAATGTCATATTGAGCACACTGCCTGTTTCACAGTCACATAATACAGGTATGGGACTGTTTGTCCAGGGTCCCGGTATCCAGAATACTTTAATAACGGCTATGTTCTGGAACAAATTACTTAAAATGAGTGCCAAAAGTGATCCTTGGTCCAAATAAGGATATTTAAAACCTTTCATTAACTGTGAGCTACCCCGGTATATGTTATGGTATACTTATTTTTCAACTCATAACTTCCGGTAGATATGTGTAACTTTCTTAATTTTCTTTATTTGGTTACATACACACTCAATCTTACATATAGAAAGTGAAAAAAATTATCATAAAGTATAAATTATTTTTCAACTCGTGTTTTCAAGTAGATACACATAATTTTCTTTCTTTTTTTTTACCACTTTCACACGCACACACAATCTTACAAATAGAAAATGTAAAAATAAATAATTAAAATAAATAATTATCATAAGGAATAAAATTTTACTTCGGTGAAGCCGTGTGGTGAGTGTGTGAAGAGGTCGAAGGATCTGGGCCAGAGCACCGATGTTAAGGCGAGTATTAGGGACAACTGCTACACATTGTGTACACTAACATGTATCATTTTTGCTCTCTTTATGCTTTCATTATTATTGAACTATTTATATCCTCTTGTTATTGATGTTTATATGCCTACAATTTTCAGTTTTAATGTTAGTGTACAGTTAAAAGCTACTTTTAGGTGAGAATCTAATGATCTGAACAGAGTCTTCACAGTCAGTTACAAAGAGTTTACTGAACATTTTGTACATTTTATGCCTGGTGCTCCAAATTCCATAAAAAAGCTATTTGGCGACCCCCAGATCCCAAGCATGCCAGATAAATGGTCCCATACCTGTACATATATTTTTATACCAGGGCTTCTTCAATAAGATGTACTGCTTGAAGTCAGGTCTTACCTTGAATATCACTAAACTTTCATCAATTACCTCCTTATGAAAGGGGGTAAAAGAAGTTTCCATACATCTCCACGATCATATTGATATTGAAACGGTTTATTTAGCCAGAAAAATATAGATACTTCCCTAACTTTCTTAGTTGATCATTTTCAGTGTTATTGTTATCTACAAAGTGTATGAGGTGTAGAAACTAGAGAAATCACTCCTTATTCATAAATTTACCAAATCAATGATGCAATGTTTCTTTATGAGAGGCAGCAATAACTATAGTACAAAAAGCACTACATACATTTCCTGAATACTGCATACAAGTATGTGTCTACTCAATGATGTACACGAGATGGGTGTAAACTCATTATGTTTTGTAACATATTCATAGTACTGTACTGCATCTATTTGTCTCTGTCTCAATATGGGATAACACTTTATTATAAAAAGAAAGCCTCAAAATAATCAAGTTTGCTAACATCTTCATTATGAGACTACTCATCAGTCACACCAGTAATTCTTCTGTCAAAGTCATGAATGTCTGGCTGAAAGTCTCTCTCATTAGTCCTTCGGACAAAGGGATGACATATGGCATCACAAGGCAGCTTACCCTCTTGCTCCATCATGCTCCTCATGCTCCTTACATCATCATCTCCTCTTTCATCACCTGCACTCAAGATATCCCAGTCTTGTTCAGAGATAGAGGAAATGGATTCATCGTCAGATGCATTAACCATCGGCACAAATTTGGAAGGGATAGCAAGGGTGATGTGCAAGATAACAGCTTGGTTCTTCCTACCACCATGTGATACACACACTTTTGGATTAATCACACCTTCTTCATCACTACTGCTTGGATAATCTTCTTGCAGCTTGTTTCATGGGGCACTTTCTTCCTTTTAATAATCTTACGCCTGGCACCAGTGGCAGCTCATCCATAGGCGCTGCGGAGCTATAGTCCCCCACTGTCAGTTGTTGCCAGGCATATGATTCATTGACACATGAAGCTGAATTATACACTAACATCCAATATTTCATAAAGAATTAGTTTGAATGTTGTTTTCATGACATACTAACTATATTTTAATTAAAAAAGATCAAAATTCAAGTGACACTCATGGTAACTGCACGTTTCATTTCCATCTGGCACTGGCATTGTATGGTTCACTTGTAGTTGCAGTATGTGCAGCCCCAGTGACTGATGTGTTTTGTGTGGAGTTGGGTCATGTACTTTTGGTAAAGTTACCTTCACCATCTACAGTCAACATATTCAGAAATTAAGCATATGATGATTCTAATAACAACAAAATTGACAGTGGCAAAAGCAGAAAAGTGCTTTTCAACCTTAAAGAGAATTAAACCATTTTTGCCCAATACCATGGTGAATGACAGATTGTCTGCCTTAGCAGTGTTATCCATTGAAAGTAACATGATAACAGAAATGAAGGACTTTAATGAAAAATTAATGAACCGTCACATGTATTTTATTTGCAAATAATATCCTAGGAATCCAGGGGCAACATCAACTCATACATACTGTATACGGTACACCTGAGGTAATCCAAATATATGACATTTTCTGCTGTAGTTATGGTGAAACTTGCAGTCCCTCTAATATATTTTACCATGAACTGCCACTGCCTGGTACCACCGCTACTGCAGGAAGTGGATGGTGTCAGATCACAAGGCTGCGATGTATGTCTACTGTCCATCATATGATGTTTGTATTAGTTATAAGCTTTCCATCATATGATGTATGTCGCAGTTGTAGGGTTCGGTAAGAAAATATGGATACAGTACTTTAAAAATATGTCCAGTAATGTTTCTTTGTTGCAGGTGGAATATGACCAGTTGTTTGAAAAGGCTGTAGAGACAATATTCAGCAGTCCCCGTTCAGGAGCTTGGCAGTTCTTAGCCGTCATCCCCTACAGTAGTGTCTCCCTCTCCCAGTGAGTGACGTTCACCTCATTCCATGATGATGTGTTCCAACTTTTTACGCTGTTTTATTATATAATGACTCTCCTGAGTCATAGTGATGTACGAAATGTCAATATCAATATTTGTTTAATATAATTCCATATACTGTTCATGTTTTGATGTATTATACATCTTTACTATTTATTGTAGTCAGAAATGTATCCTTATACTGTTCATAAAGTGATGTAGATGGAAACAAAATTTACATACTGTATTATAAAGTTAAGTACACATACTATGAGTCTCACTCTATCTCTATATCTCTCACTCTCCCTTTATCTCATTCTCTCCTTATATCTCTCTCAATTACTACCCATGCTGTATGTCTCTCACTGTTGCCCTGTATCTCACATTCCTTATATCTCACCCTCTCCTTATTTCTCTCACTAGCTCCCTATATCTCACTCTCTCCCTATATCTCACTCTCTTCCTATATATCTCACTTTCTCACTGTATATTATTCACTATCTCCCTATACTGTATATCCGTCTCTCATAAAAAATAATTAATGTAATGGAAACCTCATAAAAATGGTCTTATACAACTCTTGCACTGTTCCTCAGGTTGTGGAAAATAGTCTACAAACTTCACATAGGTATGAGAGATGAGTCCGTCTCTACCACCAGTAAGGAGAGTGAGGGGGACAAGAGTAATCAGGAGTGGGCAGATTTAGTGACTCACGCAGATACCCGTGGTCAGTTTCATGACTACCTTGTAAATATGGAAGAAAATTAATCCTTTTACCTCCTCTCCGCGCTGGCAAACATGACTGCAGCTCGTGAACCATCAGAAAAGGACTTTATTCGGGTACATCACTGGTGTTCTTTTATTTTATTTATGACTTACTGGAATTATGTTGATTATCTGGCAAGCCTTGGACTGGAAACAAACTGGATTTGGGAATTTTCTGAATTTTGGATATCCTATAATAGGCATAAACTCTACATAAAATGTTACATGAATTATTGGCAAATATACAGAACTGCAGAAGGTTATCATGTGATCGCCACTTCGCCAGAATAAAATTCAGTAGGGTCTCATCTGGCATGGATTTGATTATAAACAATTAAATAAATACTAAGTGATTAATTATTTACTGAAAGATGAGAGATTTTATTGTACAGTATATGGCCCTGGCCCTGTGCATGCTACCTGCGCATTTCTCAAGCAGTGGTTCCAGCTGCCAGGTCCCCTTGGCTAGAACCTTGGTTTGTTTACATTGATGAGGATGAGAAATTGCTTGACTTTTAGTTGTTTTTAAAAAAAAAAAATTTCTATTTACACTTTACTACACGGTGCCACCTAACTATAAACAGTCTGCTAGTGTTGCTGCAGTGAAGAAACCATGTAGGGTAATGACATTAGCTGAGAAAATTATTTATGACAAACTCTAGCATCCCTCAGTTGCCAGTACAGCAAAATAAGCTATCCATGTGCCTTATTTGTGTGAGAGAAAAAGGTTGGTGCTAAACTAAAGGCACTCTTGCTTTGAAAAGATTGAGGCATTACTAAGTGTGCAGATCACTGATCAAATTAAAATAAAAGCTCTGTTGTTGGTGGCATACCCATACAGCAAAGAGCATGTGGTTGCCAGTGAAGGTTTATTTTTCATTGGTGAATGCAACCTTCTGTACAGTGTTATCCGAGTATTTCAGTATCTACAAACACATTACAAATAAACTTTAGCACATACATATTTATGTGTAATTTCTACAAAAAGTATCTGCAAAATGTTTTGCTAGACAATGTGACACAATGGACGAAGGATTCTGACAACCTTACTGAGACAACAGGAGTCGCAGTGTTTATTTTGACATCCAGATACTTTCTGTAGTGAGTGTACTATCATGGACAAAAGTTCGCTCCCTCCCAAAATGAAGCAGTATCGACCCCATATGAGAAAAAACAGCACACCCGCACCAGATGACAGTCAAGGTAAATCAGTTCGGAGACTCATTCTGGTGACTCGGTTTCACCACAGGGAGCGAACTTTTGTCCACGATAGTACATGTATACGCTATACATATGCAGTCCAATATATATTCACGCTTGAAACTAGGTTAGATTTTTTTTTCAACTTCTCCAAACACAATTTTTCCCTTAAGGTATTAAGTTTGCCCGGTGTGAATATGCCAAAAATGATATTATTCAAGAATGTAAATCCCACATTGGACAAGTGAAGTTTTTTGGGGCGCAGAAACATGATTGGAAATTGTTTTTGGGGCTCTAACCATTCCGAGTTATCAAGGCACTTTCCTCCCAGTCTTTCGTTCCACCCCAATACCCAACTTTTGGGCCAAAATGACCTACCAGCACTACAGGTGAAGAATGAGGATAATTTAGCCACAATACTATATGCAGTACAATTCTGTATTGTAAGCACTTAAAGCACCAACCTTACCAGTGAATGCCTGGGAGGCGTTCACTGAACCAGTGCAAGACAGAGACGTATGCCAGAGTGGTTATTATTTTTTTTTGTTACATGCACGGACAATCTTTCATACAGGATGTACAAAAAAAAATAAGGTCAAAAGCAACAAGGAATAAACTTTTCTTACATGTGTGGGAGTTGTCACACACAGCTGGGAAAGGGAAGGGGGGAATGGCGTGGGGGATCTCTCAGCTGTTCGCTGTCTCGTGTATACAGTAGTTAAATGATTGCCAAATGACGATGCATTATTTTTTCTTTTATTTTATTTATTAGTACCTGTATATATTATTTTATTTACAAAGAATAGCTCCTCTGGGGGACTTGACACAGTTCAGCTACCCAGCTGACTCGCATCAGGGAAGGGTGGGAGGGAGCAGTACAGTTACATTTACAGCAGACTGCCTCCTCACGCAAACGTTCATTTCTCTCACATACACACTCACGCTCTTCATATTTCTTATTTTATATTTTTATGCTATATTTTCTTTATTTCTAAGCCACAGTAGAGTACTATACTGTATTGTAATAATTTTTTTCTCAAACGATCATGGACAAGTGATAAATATGCTGAGCAAGCAGGAGATAATGGGTGGGTTGGCTAGCACAAGAGTGGGACCCAAGCATAAGGTTACACATGTTATGCCATTCTGAGATTGTGTCATCATATTGCAGAATATTCGAGTTGTGCAAAATATATTTTTTATGTCAAATAATTAAAAAATAATTTACAGTAGAATATTTTACTGCCATTCTGAGTTATATCTAATTATGAGTTATTAAATTCAAGCTACTGTATTAAGGGTTTACTAAGGCTGAATTTATAAAAGGTCACTGATTTGAATACAGTATCTTGATATTTGGAGGTTGATTTTTACCATTTGCAGTCCGGTATTATTTATCTTGCTCCAGAAACTTCTTGTAGATTCCCCTCACACAGGAAAGGACACTGTGTTTTAAGAGAGGAAACGATGAACACTGGCATAGATACCAGGTGTCCCTCCGCCCCAAGAGGCAGGAGGAAGATTTGGACACTGATTTAATTTTCATGCATATCTCTTCACACACTTTTCAGACCACTGACCAGCTGACATAGTGATGTTCCCAGGTGCCCATGTAAGCACCTTAGCTTCTTCTGTTGATCGGAAAAAGTAACAAAAACTTTTTGCGACTTTGGGGTCTTCATTCATTTCACAAAGCACAAGATAACAAAGTTTGTATCTTTGAAATATGAATAACACTAAACACCAGAGCATAGTGTAGGTGTTAATCACATGGGTATGGCTTGATAGAGCTCACATAGGTTCAACTTTGGCCTATTGCACAACATTGCATAGTACAGTAGTGAAATTTAATTCTTTCCACATTCCTGGTTTCCTCCCAATTGGATTTTTTTATGAATTTGTACCGAGGTTAAAATGGCTGGAGTTTGGAGAGATGGATAATTGATACACTACCGATATTTGAGAAATGTATATACTGTCCTTTACTGGTAATTAGAGTAATAAAGATTGCACCATGTTCCCAAACAATTTAATCACATTTTTTTTCCATTTATTAGTAATAAAAACTTTCATATCTTACAGGTGGTGGTAAACAACATATTTGAGGCAACATTTGTAAATGAAGGAACAAGAGAAGCTCTGAGTCGTAATGGCAGGGATCTTCTTGCTACAATTGCAGCCAAGCACCCGTTATCTATTTCATATCTGCTTACTGCAACTCAGGTACCATTGATGCATCAGTCTTCTTGTCACTTTTGAAACAATGTTACAAAGTAATACAGTATTTTGTAATTGATATTCTTTGATTAAAGTGCATGGAGTAGCAAGGTCTTTTGAGAATCATTGACTGTAAGTATATTGTAATGTAATGGCTTTATAGCATGACTAATGAATTATTGGATGGCAAAGAGGATTTGAGAACTGCACTTGAAAGGAAGAGAGGAGAGATACTGTATATACTGTGTGAAATTCTTGAAGTTAAAGATTGTTTCAACATTTTAAATTACTATAAACGTTAATACCTGTACCAG